CCCCAAAACCCCAAAACCCCAAAACCCCAAAACCCCAAAACCCCTTTTAAATTTTATTAAATTGAATCAACCATTAATTATCATGAAAGCTTATAAATCATTTAAGGCAGTTGTGAATAGCAAAACCCCACTTGCTTCAGTGTTTGAGGTTCTAGATTCCTCTTCAGGACAGGTTCAGTCTGAGCAGAAGCAAGGCAGCATTGTTGCTGTCATGACTCAGAAGGAACTAGAGTCAGATCCTCCTGAATGGTATAAGAGATCTGCTGAGAACGATTCTTTCCTGGCTGATCTTAAGAAGACCAAGAGTGCATGGATTTATCATGGCAATAATAGAATCTTACTAGCAACTCATGATGATTCTAAAGAAACCACTGCTGAGAAGAAATCAAAAGCTTTACGTTCTATTGCTGTTAAGACAACGCAAGCTTTGAATGCAAAGAAGGTCACCCATGCTGCTTTCCATATCTCTGAGGAGTTTGATGCAGACAACATAAACCAATTTGTCAATGCTTCTGTTCTGACCAATTACAAGTACAATAAGAAGGAGGATGTATTCTCACCAGATACGACTGAGGAGGAGAAATTGGAGAAAACAGTACATCCTCAGTTGCTAGAAAATATTCAATTTTGTACGCCACAATCCTTGTCTGAGTCCCAGTTATCAGAGACTGAGTTCTATATCACTGCTGCTAAGTCAGCCCTCTTCGGTAGAGACATCATCAACGTTAGAGGGTCAGAGGCAGACCCTGACTTTATGGAGGAACAGATTAGAAATGTAGCTGAAGGCAAGAACAACATCACAGATATTCATATGATTAAAGGTCAGGAGTTGCAGCAGCAAGGCCTTAATTTATTCTATAATGTAGGCAAATCTGCCCAGTCAGATCCCAGACTGGTCAGTGTGTATTATAAAGGAAATCCAGAGTCTGATCAGACTGATTATGCCATTATTGGCAAAGGCCTTACTTATGACACCGGAGGTCTGAATCTCAAGCCCACTGGATATATGGAAGATATGTACATGGATAAAGGAGGAGCAGTAGCTGCTCTTGGAGCTTTAAAAGGAGCTATTGAGCTTGAACTACCTGTCAATGTTGCCTTTACCTTCGGAATAGCAGAGAATGCGATTGATTCTAAGTCCTACAAACCTGGAGATATTCTCACCAGTCTCAAGGGTTTGACCGTTAATGTTGGAAATACTGATGCTGAAGGAAGACTTGTGCTTGCAGACTCAATGACTTGGACACAAAGAAAATTTAATCCCAATCACATGATTGATCTTGCTACTCTTACTGGAGCTGTTATGGTTGCTCTAGGTAACAATATTGCTGGTATCTTCACCAACGATGATGAGTTCATGTCAAAATTTAAGATTGCAGGAGACTCTGTGTATGAAAATCATTGGCACTTGCCAATTAATGATGATCATAGAGAGATCATGAAGCATGATATTGCTAATCTCAGTAATTCTGGCAAATCCAGATATGCTGGATCTAGCACAGCTGCTGCATTCCTCGAGAACTTTGTTGAGAAAGACACTAAATGGGTCCATTGCGATCTCGCTGGACCAGCTTACTTGGATAAGCCATTTGAAGCAATGCCAGCTCATGGAACTGGCTTTGGAATCCAAACGCTATTGAAGATGCTTAAGGACCATTAATCTGCTCAACTCCAAGAGTTTATTCAATCTGATTGATTTTAAAGGGGTTTTGGGGTTTTGGGGTTTTGGGGTTTTGGGGTTTTGGGG